TTCTTACAGTGCAAGACACCTACATCAACACTGAATTTTACTGTAGAATTGGCAACCAATTGTGTGATTGCTGTTCAATTTTCCCAATATCTTTTTTTTTTTTTTTTTTTGAGATGGAGTTTCGCTCTTGTTACCTGGGCTGGAGTGCAATGGCGCGATCTCGGCTCACTGCAATCTCCACCTCCTGGGTTCAGGCAATTCTCCTGCCTCAGCCTCCTGAGTAGCTGGGATTACAGGCACGCGCCACCATGCCTGGCTAATTTTTTGTATCTTTAGTAGAGATGGGGTTTCACCATGTTGACCAGGATGGTCTCGATCTCTTGACCTCGTGATCCACCCACCTCGGCCTCCCAAAGTACTGGGATTACAGCCTTGAGCCACCGCGCCTGGCCACGATTTTCCCAATATCTTTAATTAGAGACAGTAGGCATAGCTTCTTAACTATATTTTAAAGTCTTAAATACTTAGCATTGAGGCTTACCATAGGAAAGCTAGTGCTCAATGAATAATTCTGAATGATTACAATTTGTCCCAAATTCCTTAATACACATTTTAGGGTTTTTGTTTTTGTTTTTGTTTTGAGACAGGGTCTCACTGTCACCTAGGCTGGAGTGCAGTGACATATCATGGCTCACTGCATTTTGGTACTTCCGTTACCGGAAAAAGGGTTCTCCATCCAGACCCGGAAGAGAGTGTGCTTGGATCTCCTGCAGGAGGGAATTCAGGGTGAGTTGCAGAGTGTAGTGAAAGAAGCATGTTTATTAGAAACTACTCTATTGCAGAGCAGGACATCCTCAGAAAGTAGGAGAAACACTCTTTTTTCTTTTTTACGGAGTCTCACTCTATTGCCCAGGCTGGAGTGCAACCTCTGCCTCCCGAGTTCAAGTAATTATCCTGCCTTAGCTTCCCGGGTAGCTGGGACTACAGGCACCCACCACCACTCCCAGCTAATTTTTGTATTTTTACTAGAGACTGGATTTCACCATAGTGGCCAGGCTGGTCTCAAACTCCTGAACTTGTGATCTGCCCGCCTCACCCTCCCAAAGTGCTGGGACTACAGGCGTGAGCCACAGTGCCTGGCCAGTTTTTCTTATATAGTGGTCTTACCTATGTAAAGCTAAGCTAAGCTGTGTCTACATGCGGGAGAGCAGACAACATGACAAAATTTGTTACTCTGTTGACTTAAAGAGGACAATTCTTGATATTTTAGCATGTGAATACATCAAACCATAACTATGATGATCTTGAAGGCATATATTGTTGTGGCTAGTAGGACATTTGGACTTCCTGCTGTTGTAGGAATGAGTCCTTCTAGGTATCTTAAAACTGTTTCCTTAACTGTAAACATCCCATGACTATGGGTCATGACAGGCAAGGAATGTGCCTTGTTAGTCCTAAAATGAAGCCAAACTTAAAATGGTGTTATTCTAGCTTTCGTAGGCTGCTGCTTCCCTAATGTGCTAACAAACAGTAATTGCAAATTGTCATTCTAGCAAATAACCAAGATAGGAAACAAGTAGAGTGACTATCTTAAATAGACCTATTCATTAATTTTATTTCATGTCATGCATTCATCGATTTATCCATTAATTCATTGCTCATTTCCCCCCCACCCACCCACTTTCGAGACAGAGTCTTGCTCTGTCACACAGGCTGGAGTGCAGTAGGGCGATCTGGGCTCACTGCAACCTCTGCCTCCCCGGTTCAAGCAATTCCCCTGCCTCAGCTTGCCGAGTAGCTAGGATTACAGGCGCCCACCACCACACCTGGCTAATGTTTGTATTTTTAGTAGAGACCGGTTTTCACCACGTTGGCCAGGCTGGTCTCAAGCTCATGACCTCATGATCCAACTGCCTCAGCCTCCCAAAGTGCTGGGATTACAGTTGTGACCCACTGTGCCTGGCCTGCTCATTCTTAACAAACATTTAGCAAGTACCATGTGGCCGACTCCAAACTGTCTACTTTCTTCCTATAGTTTGACAACAGAAAATAATAGTTTTGGAGTTCTAGCACTGTCTTCACCCTTTTTTGTTTTATTTAAAACTGCCCTAACTTGAGTCTTCAGTTCTTCTTAGGGCTCCAGGAAAGGAGGGAGGATAAGAATACCTTATTTATTTATTTATTTATTTGAGACGGAGTTTCGCTCTTGTTACCCAGGCTGGAGTGCAATGGGGCGATCTCCGCTCACCGCAACCTCCGCCTCCTGGGTTCAGGCAATTCTCCTGCCTCAGCCTCCTGAGTAGCTGGGATTACAGGCATGCGCCACCATGCCCAGCTAATTTTTTGTGTATTTAGTAGAGACGGGGTTTCACCATGTTGACCAGGATGGTCCCGATCTCTTGACCTCGTGATCCACCCGCCTCGGCCTCCCAAAGTGCTGAGATTACAGGCGTGAGCCACCGCGCCCGGCCAAGAATACCTTATAAAATGTTAATAAGTTCTAGATTGCAAGGATAGTTTATTAATCAAAATCTAACTTGAAAAAACGATGCCCTGGACACCTAAGAAGTTTATACTGCTTTTCTCCTAAAAAGGAGGAATATATAGAGTATAACTTGTTAGAGAAAATAATGTAACCACTTCAGATATTTGAAAGCCTCAGTCTCAAGAAGTCTCTCTGCTCTCTTTACCCACTTGAGTTTACTACAGCTATTAGCATTTTAGTTTTTTTCTCCCAACTTCTAATTCTCTCTAATCATTAAAAAGGAACTTGTCTTCTACTCAGTAGGCTAAATACTTGAGTATCTCATTTGAATGTCATAACGATGATGCACAAAGGCTGACAATAGCAAAACTCAGAATATCGGTTGCTTCATTGACAGAGGGAAATATCCCTATTTGGTAGGAGGAATGTCTGCGTTATCTGTCCAGGGCACATTCTTTCCTAGAATTTGGTCCCTGAGAAGCAAATGTAGTACACAGATAGTTGCAGGGCCCAGGAAGATACCGGGTATCTTGAGGAACACTTTATCTCAGCTACAGTGAATGTAGAAGTCTGGTGATACAGCCTTCTCCTATAAGAATTAACACCTCCCTAGGGACCCTTTGACCCTCCTTCCCCCAATTTGGTGTCCCTGTCCCCAGTGGAAGGAGATCCTAGAACTCTAATTTTCCAACTTGCAAAAATTTCTAGCAGCAGTGCTTCTGGATTAAGACATACTTTGTTAAACTGATTTGGCTTCAGGCAAATCTTTCTCAAGATGGCCTGAGGATTCCTCTTTGAGTCTTTCTGATTGTTATCCACCAGGAGTCAAATTCTCAGGGTTCCTGGAACACCACCCACATTCCAATTTTCTTCTGGCAACAGATCTCAAAGACAAGGATAGACAGGCTAGAAATTGGGATTCTTTTTCTCTTGATTATACTTCTCACCCAATTTATCATTCTTTTCATGAAATGTCTCTCAAATCCTGTCATCCCATCACCTCTGTCAATACCTTATTTCCTGCTCTCTTCACTCTTGCCCTGCCGCAGTGGTTACCTTTTTAAAACACAGATCTGAACTTCTTACAGCCCTTTCACCACTCTCCACTGCCTCCAGAAGAAACACAACTCAAGGCTCTTCAAAATATGACTTCAGCCTGCTTCTCTGGCATTCTCTCTTCCCCTCTTTCCCTCACTCCCCTCAAGTTGCAAACCACAAAGAATTCACCTAATGTTTCTCACACCCGGTAGGTAGTTTCGGTTCTCTGAGTTTGCTTTTCCTGTTTTCTCGCTGGTGAACTTTTATTCATCCTTTAAAGCCCACCGTAACTGTTTTATCCTCGGTGAATCTTTCTAGATGCCTCTTGGGCCAGTGGTTTTTGGGAGAGGGAGGTATATGTGGCTGAGGTACATCACAATCAGCAGAGAGGCTTTTAACACTGCTGAGAGCCACTGTCCCTGCAGGCTTTGGGTTTCTCCTTCATTCACTCTTCAAGCATTTTCACAAATGTAATCGAGTAGTTGTTTGTGTACACTGGTAGACAACATGCTTCTTGAAAGTAAAGCCCAGGTGTTCTACATCCATAGTTGAATCAATGCATTGGTATCTTTCCCAACCTACGGCATTTGAGACACAGTTCAAAACGATCTGCTGACAGAAATAGGGCAAAGTCATTCTGGTCTGCTTTTTTAGTTTTTTTTTTTTTTTTTCTCACTAATGTTCTTATGATTTTGCTGTACTACAATGTTAGCTAAAACAGCACAGATATCAGGAATGGCATTGGTAAGACTGACTTTAGACAAAACCCTGAAGTGAGAGGTTGCATTTCGGTTCTCACCATATTCTCCACTCTTGTCCTAATTGTCTAAAGCGTGTTTCCCTTTCTCACTATCAGCCTCCCACCTGCATCTTCCCCTTTTCTCCTTCACACTTATCTTTCCTGTGCCCCTGTCCCTCCATTTTTCCCTTTTGTAAGCCATTTTCATAAAGATCCTTCCAAATACTTCTATTAATTGGGCAACCCGTAGGTGGCAGACTGCTCCGGGCCAAGGCAACCCAAGGCGAGCAGGGTCAGCAACCAGTGTCGGGAACTTGTGCATTCTAATTTTCACAGACACAGACAGGAACGCTGACATGCAAATGCAAAGCAATCCAAAAGCACTTTCATTTTCTTTCCAGGTAGTAGGAAAGAGTTTCAGATTCCCATCCTTCTGAAACCAGGAGGGAGGTTCCTAAGAGGTGGTTAAGGCAAAATGGAGACTTCTTTTTAAACCACCAGATTTCTCAAATTGCAACACATACGTTATCTAGTCCACGCGAAGGACAGACCTTGGAGACAGGGCAAGGGGAACATGATCTACGTAGACGACTGAATCATAAGTCTCTCCCCCATCAATCGAATGCCTCACTATTTTTCTTTCTGTTTTTTCTTTCTTTTAAAGGTAAATGAATTCCTTCTTTTTCGTTAGGTGAGGCCGGCAGAGACCAAGAAGAGCTGAAACAGAGGCGAGGTTAGTACCCAGCAAAGACCCGGGGCGAGGAGAGACAATGAAGAGGATCGTGGGGCTGGACCCTGAGAGAGGCTGAGGAGATGCTGGCTGGCGCGGCCAGCAGGCGGCCAGCCACGCAGGCAGGCGTAGGGCTCGGCGTGGCCTGGGACCGCTGCACACCCGGCCTTCGCGCGGGGCCAAGGCGCCTGGGTGGGACCGAGGAGGCGGGGCCTTCCTGGCGGAAGGGTGATGGACAGCCTGTCTTTCCAATTGCGTCCTTGAAAGGGAGCAGGCAGGCCAATGAGCGGACAGCGAGGGCCGAAGCGGGGCTGAGGCTAGGGTGCAGAGCTGGCGAGCCGTGGCTGGGGCCGGAGTGGGGAACGCAGCGTGGAGGTGCCACCCGGTGTGGGTGGCGGAGAGATCAGAACCTTCTTCCCCAAGCGGAGCCAACCTCAGGGGGGACCGGGGCTCAAGGACGCTGCGGCGGCGACTGCAGCGGCTGGACCATGGCAGCGCCCGCCGGAGCCTGGGCGGTGATTGCAGCTCCAGACAGGAGGCGCTGGCCGTGGTCGGTGCTGACGGCGGCTCTCGGGCTCCGTGAGTGATGCCAGCTCTGGGGCCGGGGCGGGGGGCTTCCGGGCCCGGCACACGCCTCTTGCGGAGGTCGCAGGTCAGGCGCGCGCGCTGAGCGCGGAGGTGGGGAGGGGGCATGGCCTGCGCTCTTTGGGGCCGAGGGAGCCCTGCCAGTGGGGAACGCGGGCCCCCGGACCGACCGGGAAGGCGGAGAGTCTCTTTCTTCTCCTTCCTGGATCCCCGAGTGCGGAGGAGGAGGGGAGAGCGCCCTACCTTGCTCCTTCCCGGGGGACGGTCGGGGGTAGCGAGCCTGGCGGGCGTCTGCAGTGACCCCTCGCGGCGCCCCTTGCCTTCTCCTCACGGTGATTCTGGATCGTCTGGGCCCTACCGGATTCCGACTTGGGAACTAGGGTTCTGGAGTTCCCCACCTTTGGAAGGTGGCGGAAGGTTGCAGGTTATTCATTTGCAGAGAGGGCCTTTGTTGGTTTGTTTCCTGTTAAGCAAGGGTTTTGTGGTACTTGTAAGTTCCCTTTCCTAGGCTCTCATTCACTTTTAAGTCTCCGTAATAAAAGAGTCCTGGAATCTCATATGTCTTATTTCCGTGGTCTACAAAACTTCAATTAAAAAATATAGTTACGGCCGGGCGCAGTGGCTCACGCCTGTAATCCCAGCTCTTTGGGAGGCCGAGGCAGGTGGATCACGAGGTCAGGAGTTCAAGACCAGCACTGCCAACAGGTTAAACCCCGTCTCTACTAAAAATACAAAAATTAGCTGGGTATGGTGGTGGCTCATGCCTGTAATCCCACCTACTCAGGAGGCTGAGGCAGGAGAATTGCTTGAACTGGGGCCCGGGAGGCTGAGGTTGCAGTGGGCAGAGATTGCACCACTGCACTCCAGCCTGGGCTACAGAGTGAGACTCCGTCAAAAAAAAAAAAAAAAAAAAAAAAAATATATATATATATATATATATACACACACACACACATATTAGTTACTTCTAGGTTAGAATGCAAAGAGCTAGGAATACCAGGAGATGGCCTGACTTAAAAGAATTAGGTCAAATCCATCATAATTCCAGACGTAGCCACCATAATTTGACAAGACATAAAGCATTAAAAAGCATAGTTTTCCTAAAGGAAAAAAACCTCCTTTTTCTTACCAAATGTCATGACCAAGCTTATGGTAAACCTCGGGCTCAATTTATGGGAGTTGGATGAGTTGTTTAATGGACATCTGGAGTGGTATCTGCCACAGGACTTTCTGTGTAGTTGTTCAAAGCAAAGTACTTCTTGCTGTCTCCGAATATGGTCAAATAACAGTTATAAAGAGGGCCAGCTGCTAAGAAACCACGTAGAGTTTTTTCATTCCTTTTGTTTTAAAAATGTCAGTTGCGGCTGGGCACGGTGGCTCAAGCCTGTAATCCCAGCACTTTGGGAGGCTGAGGTGGATGGATCACGAGGTCAAGAGATCGAGACCATCCTGGTCAACATGGTGAAACCCCATCTCTACTAAAAATACAAAAAATTAGCTGGGCATGGTGGCGCGTGCCTGTAATCCCAGCTACTCAGGAGGCTGAGGCAGGAGAATTGCCTGAACCCAGGAGGCGGAGGTTGCGGTGAGCCGATAACGCGCGATTGCTCTCCAGCCTGGGTAACAAGAGTGAAACTCCGTCTCAAAAAAAAAAAAAAAAAAAAATGTCAGTTGCATCACAGTATCTGAATACCAGAGTTTACTTAGAAATTTCTGTCTTCATGGAAAAGTTCTCAATACTTGGATCGAGGAAACTAGGTGATGTTCTGTTGAATCACCAACTGTTCCACATAACCCGTGAATCTAGGGGTTGTAAAGCATAAATGTAAAAATTTCCCCACCCTCCAGAGGTTGACAGATGATGACATACTTTGTATGTATAAGACATAATTCATTCTGTATTTTGTCTTTGAAAAAAAACGTTGAATGTGTTTGTTGGTGGTAGTATTTGTGTTTAATCAAACGACTTAAGTTTATCCGAAATATATTTAAGACAGAATTATTGTGCATGAGAGGTCAGACATTGCTATGGAGGACAAAGCAGATAGGGTGATCTTACTTAAAATCAGGGTATTAAATGTAGCAGGAGTGCAAAACTACCTAGTCGTGAAAAGATCACCAGAGTAATAGCCCCATATACCTTGGACGTAATTCTTCAGTAATGAAGATGAAGGTTGATATGTAAAAATCAGCAGCTGATGTTATTGGTTCAATTTAGAAAATTATTGAATATAAAATTCTTGCCAAATCACCTTTTTTTCTGGTCATGGATACTGCACATAATAGTTCATCTTTTTTTTTTTTTTTGAGACGGAGTTTTGCTCTTGTTACCCAGGCTGGAGTACAATGGCACAATCTCAGCTCACCGCAACTTCCGCCTCCTGGGTTCAGGCAATTCTTCTGCCTCAGCCTCCTGAGTAGCTGGGATTACAGGCACGTGCCACCACGCCCAGCTATTTTTTTCTATTTTTAGTAGAGACGGGGTTTCACCATGTTGACCAGGATGGTCTCGATCTCTTGACCTTGTGATCCACCCGCCTTGGCCTCCCAAAGTGCTGGGATTACAGTCTTGAGCCACTGCACCTGCCTGCCCAATAGTTCATCTTTTACAAGAAAGCTTCTCAAGTTTGATCAAGACAGTTAACTTAGCAAATATTTACTAAGCACCTTTTAAGTGTTAAACATCGAGCTACTCTAGAAAAGAGAGTCCTCACCCTCAAATAATTTGCAATTCAATGAGAGAAACACTGTGATTAGCAGTATAAGAAGTCTGTTTTTTTTTCTGAGGCGGGTGGTAGGAGGGTGGATCTCACTGTGTTGCCTAGGCTGCTCTGGAACTGAAACTCCTGGGCTCCAGTGATTTTCTTGCCTTTTCCTCCCAAGCAGCTGGGGCTACAGGTGTGTACCACTGTGTAAGGCCAGAAGCACATTGGTGAAGATGTACTGTGGGAGCTTGGAGGAGGGTCATTATCTCAGACTGTAGTTCGGCTACTGGAGGAAGGGAGTTTAAACTGAGTAGGCTTTGGGGAGGGGCGGAAGTACATACAGAGTTATGAATGAACCTGTTGGTGGTGCAGTATAGTGGGAGGTTGGAGTGTATATAAGGTGGATAGTGGGAGTTGAGGCAGGAGAGCCAGCCAAGGGCACCAACTTACAAAGGGCCTTCTCTGCCACACTTAATCTAGTGGGGATTTCTCTGTCTATTGAGATGGAAAGGATAGGTTAGAGTGGGGTGAGACTGAAGCCAGAGAAAGCAGAAGACTATTGTAATAATCCAGGGGAGGATGAGGAAGTTCTGAACTCAAGCACTGGGCTATGAAGAGAGGACACATATTCATGAGCCATTTAGAAAGTGTGTTTGGTAGAGCTTGGAAACTGATTAATGCAGGTTTGAAAGAGGAGGTGGATAAAATGATCATAGGTTTTGGACTTGGGAAGCTGGGCATATTTTTTGCCTTTGCACAGATTGGGAAATAGGAGGCTTGGGGGAAGAAGATGATGGAGATACTTTTGAGTGTGTTGACTTTGAGATGCTAGTAAGACATCCAAATGGAGATGGGCAGAAAACAATTGGATAGACATTTCTGGAGGTGTGGAGAAAGTTCTTGTTGGAGATGCGGATTTGGAGAGTTATGTGGTTAATAGTTAAAGCTTAGATTATTTGGATGAGGTCATCCAGGGAAAATGTACTGAAGAAATAGCAGAGAGCCAACGACAGAGTTCTGGGGTATATGAAACCTGAGAAAGAGACTCTGTGAGTAAGAAAAAAACCAGGAGAATTTGGTATTTCACCATTGTCAGATGAAGAGAGAATATATGTAATAAGAATTCGCTGAATTTGGCAGTTGAAATGAGCACACAGTATATAAGGACTAAATCTCAGTAATTTGTACCATGCATTTCAGTAAATGGAACCTCTGTACATCTGATTGTGCTGCCCAGAAACCTAGGATCCCCGCTTGAATCTTCCCTGTCCTTCACATCCACTCAGTTCTCCCATCTCTAAAATGCATCTGGAATTGATCTTTTTTCTACCTCCACTCCTAGCCTTTTAGTCAGTCACCATCATTTCTTGCCTATATTACTGTGACAGCCTCCCAGCTGCTCTTCGTCTTTTACCCCCTCTTGGTTCTTTTTTGTTGTTATTACAGAATCTTGCTCTGTCTAGCCCATGCTGGAATGCAGTTGGGCAGTCTCGGCTCACTGTAACCTTTATCTCCCAGGTTCAAGTGGTTCTTCTTGTGCCTCAGCCTCCCAAGTAGCTGGGACTCCAGGTGTGCACCACCACGCCTGGCTAATTTTTAATTTTTTTTAATTTTTAGTAGACACAGGATTTCGCCAAGTTGGCCAGGTCTCGAACACCTGACCTCAAGTGATCGGCCTGTCTTGGCCTCCCAAAGTGCTGGGATTACAGGCATGAGTCACCACATCCAGTTCTATTTAATCCATTCTTCACACAACTACAAGAATGATTTTTGTTAAAATGCAAATCAGATCATGTTGCTTTCTTGTTTAAAATCCTTAATGGCTTCCCATTGCACTTGGAATGAAATCTAAACTTCCCATGGCCTTAAAAGCTCTTTGTGATCTGGTTTCTGCCTACCTCTATTACCTCAACTTGTACAACCCACCACCCCCTTCTCACTATATTCAAGCCACACTGCCATCTTTCTGCACTGTGACACTCTTTCCCACCTCAGGGCCTTTGGAATAGCTATTCTGATGTTGCCCAGGGCTGGCTTCTTTTCATCCCTGAGGCTTTAACCTAAGTTTCACTTCTTCAGAGAGGTTTCTCTGACCACCTTATTCTAGGGTAGTTACCTGTTACTATCTGCTGGCTCACTGTTTACTTCCTTGTTGTAATGTCTATTTGGTTTTTCTTCTCTCTTTTTTTCCCTCCATCAGAATCTAGGACAGAGATGGCATCTGTCTTGTTTATGGAAGTATTGCTAGTGCTTAACATAGTGGATATGATTGATGCTAAAAATATGTGT